ATCAGCAGAGGGTATTCAGGTGGATCCAAAGAAGTTTGAGGTCGTTCAGAATTGACCTAGACCTACTTCAGCCATGAAGATTCGTAGTTTCTTGGGTTTGGTGGGTTATTACCGTCAGTTTGTGGAGGGGTTTTCATCTATAGCATCCCCATTGACCAGGTTGACCTAGAAGGGTGCCCTGTTCAGACTGTCAGACAAGTGCGAGGCGGGCTTTCAAAATCTCAAGGCAGCTATGACTACTGTGCCGGTGTTGGTGTTGCCCACAGGTTCAGGACCCTATACAGTATATTATGATACATCTTGTATTGTACTTGGTACGGTATTGATGTAGGGTGGCAAGGTTATTGCATATGCTTCACGACAGCTAAAGATTCACAAGAAGAATTATCATGTTCATGACTTGGAGCTGGCAGCCGTTGTTCACGCGCTAAAGATTTGGAGGCACTATCTATATGGCGTGTCTTGTGAGGTGTTCACGGATCATGAGTTTACAGTACTTGTCCAAGTAAAAGAAGGTCAATTTGAGGCAGAGGAGGTGGTTTGAGCTATTGAAAGACTATGATATCACCATCTTATATCATCCCGGGAAGGCCAATGTGGTGGCCGATGCCTTGAGTAGGAAGTCAGCTAGTATGGGCAGTCTTGCATATCTTCCAGTCGCTGAGAGACCACTTGCATTAGATGTTCAGGCCTTAGCCAACCAGTTCGTGAGGTTGGATATTTTTTAGCCCAATCGTGTTTTAGCTTGCACACTCGCTCGGTCTTCCTTTTATGAGCGTATCAGGGAGCGGCAGTATGATGAACCTCATTTGCTTGTCCTTAGGGACACAGTGCGGCACGGTGATGCCAAGCAGGTTACGGCTGGAGATGATGGAGTTTTGAGGATGCAGGGTCGTGTTTGTGTGCCTAATGTGGATGGGCTTCATGAGTTGATTCTAGAGGAGGCCCACAGTTTCGGGTATTCTATTCATCCGGGCGCCGCCAAGATGTATCAGGACTTGCGGCAGCATTATTGGTGGAGGAGGATGAAGAAGGATATTATTGCATACGTAGCTCGGTGTCTAAATTATCAGCAAGTAATGTACGAGCATCAGAGACCTGGTGGTTTACTTCAGAAGCTAGAGATTCCTGAGTGGAAGTGGGAGCGTATCACTATGGATTTCGTTGTTGGACTCCCACGGACTCAGAGGAAGTTCGACGCAATTTGGGTTATTGTGGATAGGCTGACTAAGTCAGCGCATTTCATTCCTGTGGCAGTTTCCTATTCTTCGGAGCGATTGGCAAAGATTTAAATTTGTGGATCGTTCGTCTTCATAGTGTGCCCGCGTCTATCATTTATGATCGAGGTACACAGTTTACCTCGTATTTCTGGAGGGAAGTACAGAGTGAGTTGGGTACGCGGGTCGAGTTGAGCGCAACATTTCATCCTCAGATGGACGGACAGTCCGAGCGTACCATTCAGATCTTGGAGGATACGCTCCGCTCCTACGTTATTGACTTTGGAGGTTCTTGGGATCAGTTCTTGCCGTTAGTGGATTTTGCCTGCAACAACAGCTATCAGTCAAGCATCCAAATTGCTCCCTATGAGGCATTATATCGTAGATGGTGTCGATCACCGGTTTGGTGGTTTGAGCGGGGGGAGGCTCGATTGTTGGGTACAAATTTGGTACGGGATGCCTTGGAAGGTTAAGACCATTCAGGATAAACTTCGTACAGCTTAGTCCAGGCAAAAGGGTTATGCTGACTGTAAGGTTCGTGATATGGCACGAATGGTCGGGGAGAGAGTGTTGCTTCAGGTATCGCCCATGAAGGGCGTAATGAGGTTCGGAAAGAAGGGCAAGCTAAGCCCTAGGTTCATCGGGCCTTTTGAGATCCTTGATCGAGTGGGAGAGGTGGTCTACAGACTTGCGTTGCAACCAGGCTTATCAGCCGTACATCAGTTTCATTTTTCCATATGTCGGAAGTATCACAGCGATCCATCCCACGTGTTAGATTTCAGCATTGTCCATTTGGACAAGGATTTGACCTACGAGGAGGAGCCGATTGCCATTTTAGACCGGCAGGTTCGATAGTTGAGATCGAAGAATTATCCTTCGGTTCGAGTGCAGTGGAGAGGTCAGCCTGTTGAGGCAGCTACCTGGTAGTCCGAGTCCAATATATGGAGCAGATATCCCCACCCTTTTCCCATCTCAGGTACTTTTCTATGTCAGTTCGAGGATGAACGGTTGTTTTAGAGGTGGAGAATATGATAACCCAAAAGGTCATCTTGCATTTTAGAACCCAATTCGGTGTTCCGAGGCCTTCCAAAACCTCTTTTTATACCTCCTTGATTTGCGTGCGTAGTCCGGGCACATTTCCGGATAGCCTTTATGTGGAAATTTGGGAAAATAATAATGTTTGCCTATAAAAGTTGATCTAGTTGACTTCGGTCAACGTTTTGAATAAACGGACCTAGACTTGTATTTTGACAGTCCCGGTGAGTCCGTATTGAAATATGGGACCTGGGCGTATGCCCCAAATCGGATTTGGAGGTCCCTAGCCCGAGTAATGAATTTTGTTAAAAATTATAAGTCTGCAAATCTAATGGTTTAAAGAATTTGATTAATGTTTGATCTCGTTGGTATCGGGCCTGTATTTTGGTTTTGGAGCCCGGTACAGGTTTAATATAATATTTAAGTCATGTCTTTGAAATTTGGTGAAAATCGGGATTTATTTGACGTGATTCGGGCATCCGGTTGATAAAAGAGGAATTTCGAAGTGTTCTTAAGAATTTCATGTGATTTGATGCTAAATTCGTAGTTCCATATGTTATTTTGGCGATATGATCGCACGAGCAAGTTCGTATGATGTTTTATGACTTGTGTGCATGTATGGTTTGCTCGGTTGAGTTTCGGATAGGCTACGGGGTGTATTGAACTTAGAAAATTTTGCTGGTATAGCTGAACCTTCTGCAGGCCTCTGATCTCGCATTTGCGAGATCAGGCATCATAATTGCGAACCCTGCACGTTCTGCATTTGCAAGGCTCTCATCGCAAATGCGAAGAGTATCTTGGCCAAGCAGACCTCGCAATTGCGAAGAATTTTTCGCATTTGCGAAGTGAGGCTGGGAAGGCAGTGATCGCAAATACAATCTATTTGTCGCATTTGCGGAGAGCTAAGTTTGCAATTGCGATCATATCTTTGCAATTACGAAAGCAGCAGAGGTGTGAAGGACCTCACATTTGCGATGGTACCTTCGCATTTGCGAAGCTCGGGTCGCAAATGCGACTTCTTTAGCTGTGTAAAATGGACTTAGACGGGATTTTTGCTCATTTTTCAAATCTTTCAAAACAAGAAACCCTCTATGTGATTTTCCAAAGACCATTTCTTCCCCAAATCATAGGTAAGTAATTCTTAACTCGTTTCTTTCAATGTTTCACTTCATTTTACAAGATTTCAACCTAGAATCTAAGATTTTCATGGTGGAATTGGGGATTTTTGGGTAGAAGCTAGGGATTTCAAAATTTGGGGATTTAGACCTCAGATTGAGGTCGGATTCCATAACAATTGTATATCCGGGCTCGGAGGTGATTGGGTAATCGGGTTTTGGTCTGAATTTCGGGTTTGGACCAAAGCGGGCCCGGGTGTTGACTCTTTCAAAAATGGCCTAAATTGAATTCCTTGCTATCATGGGTAGTTACTAAGGCTTAAATTGAATTGTTTGGTTGGTAATTTGCTAGATTCTATTGGTACGGAGGCTTGTGTGAAGGGAAAAACGGTGATTGAGCTTTGATTTTGGCCGTGGGAGTGAGGTAAGTGTCGTGGCTAACCTTAGCTTGAGGGATTAGGTGTTATTTGCTTACATGTTACGTGTTTAGATGTTGCGTACAACGTATAGGTGAGGTGACGAGTATCTATACGTTGTTATTGAGTCATAGCATGTGAGTGAGTCTTATTGTTGTAAATGTTGAATTTTGATTATATTGTTCATGTTTAGACTAGCTATTCGATGTGTTGAGCAATATATTATCATGTTTTAGTGAATTTGGTATTGATGGTGTTTTTACTCAAAGTTGAGATTGGTATTGTGGAACGAAGTGTTGGTGTAAGAATTGTTGTTGTCATTTCTATCTCCCTATTATTGTTGTCTCTTGTTTTGGTAAGGTAGAGTGATAAAGTACGAAGGGTGATGTCGTGCACGTTTCTATTACTTATATGGTGAGGTAGAGTGATAAAGCACGAAGGGTGATGTCGTGTACGTTTCTATTATTGATTATCCGGTGAGAATGAGAGTAAAAGCACGAAAGGTGATGCCGTGCATTTTCTGTTTGCTGTGTTTACTGGTTATTACCTGTTCAAAGTGTACAAGCTGTTTAAGTTTATCTACTACTGTGATTCTTTATTCTGGTACCCCCTTGGCATGTTTCCCCATCCCATTAATTTCTGCTTAACTTCTATCATTTGTTACTGTTAGCATATTGTTTAACTCATAGGTTTATGTATGTGCCTTTTCCTAGCCTCGTCACTACTTCGCCGAGGTTAGGCTCGGCACTTACCAGTACATGGGGTCGGATGTACTGATACTGCACTCTTCAGTTTCTGTGCAGATTTCGGTACTGGACCGTGTTGGCCTGAGTTGAGTTGCTGCCTTCAGACCCACCGGAGACCAAAGGTAAATCTACCGGCCTTCGCAGACCCTATAGTCCCCTTCCAGCTATTCCAGTTTTCTGTTTCTTTTAATTCGAGAACAGTTGTACTTTCTTTTAGCCAGTATTTTTAGTGACTCTTAGAAGATCGTGAATTTTGACACCAGATTCTAGGTAGTCGTGTATAAGTACTTGGGTTATTATGAAATTCTGCACTCCTTTAATCTGTTTTGGTTTAATTGTTGTTATTTACAGAATTGGTTAGTAGTTAGCATATTAAATCTCTATCTATTGGCTTGCCTAGCATCTGAAAGGTTAGGGGCCATCACGATCCCGACGGTGGTATATCCGGGTCGTGACAAGAATCTCCCAGTTTTATGCAATATCCTGTGACTGAATTCTTGGTAATTGAACATGATGCCAATCTACATCACAAAATGCAGTCACTTTTCCATTAGCTTTGCTACTCATTAACAGTCCCTGTCCTATTGATCCTTTCACATATTTTACTACCCTTAAAGCTGCTTCATAATGAGACTGTTTTGGAACATTCATGAAATGACTCAGAACCTGAACCGCAAAAGATATATCAAACCTTGTGATTGCAAGATATAAGAGTCTCCCAACTAGCCTTTGATATACTCTTCTGTCCTCCAGATCTCCATCAGTTGTTTGTCCTCCAAAATGCTTATCATATTCTACGCTAGTGAGCTTCATGTTCTTATCCAGTGGTGAAGCAGTTGGCTTTCTTTCTCCCAATCCACACTCTGAGAGAAGCTCCAATGCATATTTTCTTTGGTTCATAAGAATTCCCTTACTTGACCTTGCAAATTCAATTCCTAGGAAAAATCTCAACTCTCCCAAGTCCTTCATTTTGAAGTTGTCTTTCAATATAGTTTTGGCCTCTTGAATAAGCTTTAGTCACTCCCTGTAGTTAATAAATCATCAACATAAACCAAGATGACAATTATGTCATTGTCCTGCCTTTTGGTGAATAGAGAGTAATCTTGTTTTCTTTGTGTGAAGCCAGATTGTATAAGAGCTGATGTGAGCTTAAATTCCATTGTCCGCTAGCCTGTTTGAGACTATAGAGGGATTTGAGGAGTCTGTATACTTTAGTCTCCCCCTGACTACCAAATCCCTAAGGCAAAGACATATAGACCTCTTCAAAAAGATCCCTTTGGAGGAAGGCATTGTAGACATCCATCTACACTAAAGACCAATTATACTGAGCTGCAATAGCCATAACACTTCTGATAGTGACCATCTTAACTACAGGGGAAAAGGTCTTATGACAATCAAGACCCTCTTGTTGAGTAAACCCCTTGGCAACGAGCCTTGCCTTGTACCTTTACACAGTCCCATTCACATTATACTTCACTTTAAAAACCCATTTACAACCAATTGGAGTCTTGCCTGCAGGAAAATCCACTAACTCCTAGGTGTGATTGTTAAAGAGAGCCTAAAGTTCAAGGTTCATATCCTGAACCCAATTACTATCACTAATAGCCTGTTCAAAAGAGTGGGGCTCAATAATAGAAGAAAAGGCTGTAAGAAATGCTCTGTAAGAAGAAGAAAAGGCACAATAACAACGGGAAGCAGACAATGGATAAGGAGTATTGGAAGGCTTAGTATTAGGGACATAATCTGTAAGCCAACTAGGAGGTTTAGAAATTCTGAGAGATCTCCTAAGACCAGCAGGTGAGGAAGGGGAAAGGAGGGAAAGGGCATGGAGAGGACTCAGAAGGAGATGCAACAGGAGTATGAGGTAAAGGGGAAGAATAGGAGATAGGACTAGAAGAAATGGCAGGAGTAGAGGATGAGGATGGGAAGGCTTCAGAAGTGGAAGATGAAGAAGTATCTGTGCCTGGCATGGGAATTGCAAGAAATGGGTCATCAGTGGGAGGAATGACAGACTTAGGAGGAAAAAAGTGAGTGTAATCATAAGGAGGATCACACAGAAAAGTGAATTTAGGATGTGTAAAGGGAAACACATTTTCTCTGAAAGATACATCCCTATTGACTAAGAAAGTGCCAGTGGAAATATTATAAAGCTTGTAACCTTTATGTGTCTCTGAGTATCCTATGAAGATGGCAGTAGTAGATCTAGAAGCACATTTGTCAATGAGATGAGAAGTAGTGGCATAACATAGACAACCAAACACTTTGATGTGAGTAAGAGAAGGTGAATAGCCATGAAACAACTCAAAAGGTAATTTCACTAAAAGCACTGAAGATGGAAGCCTATTGATAAGGAAAGCTGCTGTGAGAACACATTCCCCCCTGAAACTCTAAAAGAGCATGAGCTTGGAATATAAGAGCTCTAGCCATTTTAATTAAATGCCTATGTTATCTTTCAGCCACTCCATTTTGTTGTGGAGTGTGTACACAAGAACTCTGATGAACAATTCCAAGACAAGTAAAGAGTGTTGAAATTTGTGAATTAAAAAATTCAAGACCATTTGATAACTAGGGATTTTGACGTGTTTCATGCTCCTTCTTGCTTACGCTTTGAGTATAAACTTTTACAAAATAGACCCAAAAGGCTCATAAGTTGTGCTTGATTGCAGGTTTGATCAACAAAATGACGATATGTCAAATATCGGCTCAAAGGGAGTGAAACCTGCATAAGTATCAAAGACAAATAGAACTCAGGACAAACTAGCCTAGTGCGGCCGCAGTCCATTCTGTGCGGTCAGCACTAGGGAGATTCAGAGACTGCATTTTTAGGGCATCAAAGCAGTGCGGCCGCAGTAGATATTGTGCGGCCCGCACTGGAGACGCCGCGGCCGCATCACCATTCTGTGCGGTCCGCGGAAGAGAAGATCAGAGAGATGTCAAGTGCCAAGTTTCAAGCCTGTGCGGTCCGCAGTCGTGTTTGTGCGGACCGCGCTAGTTCCCTCCACGGCCGTGGTCCATTCTGCGCGGTCCGCGGAGCCTGAGTTCAGAGAGCCAAGATTTTAAGTCCAAGAGCCTAGTGCGGCCGCAGTCCATTTAGTGCGGCCCGCACTGACCCCGCAGGGGCATTTTTGTCTAGTTTTTCCAGCTTAGTATAAATAGAATATTTTTTTTCATTTTTAGGGTAACCAGTTATTATCAGACATCAGCTGCGCTCGTGAGAAGCTATTTTGTAGCCATTTTGGGCATTTTAACGTAGATTTAGCAATTGAATCATTATCTTTACTTCAGTAATTTAATATTATGTCTTTCTCTTCATCTATTTCTTTGATTTTATCTTCGAGCATGAGTAGCTAAACCCATTAGCTAGGGTTGTGGCTCAACCCTAGTGTGGGTAATTGATGGGTGTTGTGATTTAAGGTTAGATTGATTATGGGTGTTTGTTATTTGGGTCAATTTTGTGGTTGCAAACACTAGTTTGTGCTAAGTTGACTTGGCTCTTCTTGAGAAAAAGAGCCTAAGTCTCCAAAATTGATTCAACAAGGAATTGGGATGGACTCAAGAGATTTGATAGTCCCAATTAAAGGGTTAAACCTCGAGAGAGTAATTACCCGACTTGAACCCTAGTTGCTCGGGCAAACATGCATACCCAATTGGTCTCGAGAGAGTCAATTGGGCAAAATCACTCTTTCTACCGAGAGGTGTAGAGTGGGTAGTATTGAGCAATGGTTATAACATATTTCCCCAATCATGTCAATCGTGCCTTAGATGCAATTACCCGTCAATTAGCCACCTAGGTAAAGGTCACTACCCTAGTGCCTTTTAAACCATTAGATACAATTTGTACCAATTTACTCTTAGTCTAATTTAGTTGCAATTATAATTTGTAGTTTGATCATAGTAGAATATGAAGAAAACCCAAAAATGAATAGAAGACCAATTAAGAGCATACACGCAATCCTAAGCTAAATAGATACTCGACTCCAATCCTAGCTCTCTGTGGATTCGATCCCGACCCACAAATCGGCTAAAAGCTATTGCGACCCTCTCTTGCTACTTTTTAGTGGTGCTGAGTTGGCAGTGATCAACTTTTTGGCGCCGTTGCCAGGGAGCTAACGGTTTTGGCTATCTATTTAGTTAGTTTTGTGTGTTATTCTTCTTTCCTTCTTTGTTACTAATTTGTGTGTGTGATTACTACAGGTACCAAATGGCTTTAAATGCTAATGACCCTCTTGGAAATGTTTTTGCGGGGGAGGAGGTTGATGAAATCGGAGAGGATGAGGTGCCTCTCGTACCTCCAGGACCACGACGAGGTCGCCGGGCCAATGCTAATGAAAATGTTCCAGACCCTCCTCCGCTACCTCCAAGAGCGGTTCCGCGGGTGTTACCGAACCAGGGCTATGCGAGTGCTATTGTCCCACCCAGAATCCAGGCGGGCAATTTTCAGATAACTAATGTGATGTTGACCTTATTTGAGCAGCGTGGGTATTTCACGGGCGCTGCGGATCAAAATGCCTACAAACAAGGGTTCGTGGATACATGTTGGGGTAGCAAGCAGACGAATGTGTCCGAAGATGCTCTTAGGTTGAGACTTTTCCCCTTCTCACTTCGGGGAAAGGCATTGGATTGGCTAGAGAGACTCCCCAATCATTCCATCACAACTTGGGATGAGTTGGCGGATAAGTTTATTGCTAAATTATTTTCACCCGGGCATATGGCGGCACTTCGAGATGAAGTATTGGCTTTCAAGCAAGAATCCACGGAACCTTTGCATGAGATTTGGGAGCGGTTTAGAACAATGGTGAAGGAATGCGCCAATAATGATATGACCGAGGCGATGATTCAATAAACCTTCTATCGGGGCATCAATACTACAAATCAATGCATAGTCAATCAATTGGCCGGGGGTAATTTCATGAAGTTGTCTTATGATGAAGCTTGCGAGATTCTTGATGAGATGGCGGATACATCCTCCGCATGGCAAAGTAGGGCCAATGTTCCTCAAGGTGACCCTACGGTTATTCATTTGCATAAGGAGTTACATGACCATGGACAAGCTATAGCGGAGTTGACAACTACTATGAACCAATTGGATAAGGCACCGTTGCAACAAGTCCAAAACCCTCGCCAAGTGAATGCTATGGAAGGTGTTAGTATGTTTGCCAACAAGAGAAGGAAAAGGAGGCAACAAATCTAAGGGAATTTCGAGCAATTTCATGATGAGTGTGATGGGTTTCAAAATGATGGCTATGATGAGCAAAATGAAGAGGTACAATATGTTAACAACTATCAAGGCAATAGAGGCAACTCTTCAAACCAACAATGGCGACCCCAAGGTAATTGGGGCAATCAACAACAAGGTGGTGGTAATTGAAAAAACAACAACCAAGGCGGTTATTGGGGGAACAACAATCAAGGCAACCAAGGGAATTGGAATGGTAATAACAACAACTGGAACAATAATGGAAACTAAGGCAATCGGGGGCAAGGCTTTCAAAGGCCCCCGATGTACCAACAACCGAACAATCCACCTCCGTTTCAATCTCAAGGATCTAGTTCTTCGGGTAATGATATGGGAAGAATAGAAATGATGTTCGAACAAATGATGAAGAAGAACCAAGATTCCGATGCTCAATTGGCTTCCCACAATACCTCTTTCCGGAACTTGGAGGTGCAATTAGGCCAAATTTCTCAGTCGTTGAATACTCGCCCTAAGGGTGCTCTACCAAGTGATATGGTAGTGAACCCGAAGGGTGGAAACAATCATGTGATGGCGGTTACAACAAGAAGTGGGAGAGGCGGTGATGTGCATGCCTCGAAAGATAAGCAAGTTGTGGATGATGATGTTGAGTTGCGGGAAAATGATGTACCTTTGATAGTTGAAGATGTGGTTGAGAATGAGGTGAACAATGATGTGAGGATTGACATTAATGAGGCTGAGGTGGAAACTCAAGATGCGTGAACCCGTCTAGGGA